AGCTGAGGCGAAACGGTCCTGAGCTCCTCGCGGACCACGTCTTGGAACCCAGAGTGTTGTGAGGATGTCTCAGGCCAAACAGGCCAGAGCACCTCGCGAGCCGCATCTTGGAACCCAGAGGTGTGAGTGGCGAGGATGTCTCAAGCCGAGCGGGCCAGAGAGCCTCAAGCCAAGACACCTCGGAGCCCGGGGTTCCGAGGATGTTTCGAGCGATACGGGCCTGAGCATCTCGCGAACCGCATCTTCAACCCAGAGTTGCGAGGACGTCTCAGGCAAAACGGTCAGAGCCAGGGATCCCGATGATGTCTCACTCAAAACGTGCCTGAGTACCTCGCGAACCACTTCTTGGAACCCAGAGTGGTGAGGACGCTTCAAGCGAATCAGAGCACCTCAAATCAGGGCATCTTGAAGCCTGGGGTTCTGAGGATGTCACAAGCGAATAACGTAATGAGGATGTCTCTGGTGAAACGGAACTGAGCATCTCAAGTCAGGGCATCTCGGAACCCGAGGTTCCGAGGATGTCTCAAGCGAAACAGGTCTGAGCACCTCGTAAACCGCATCTTCAACCCAGAGTTGTGAGGACGTCTCAGGTTCAACGGTCTCAGACGAAACGTGCCTCAGGGATTCCAAAGATGTCTCAGACGAAACGTGCCTGAGTACCTCACGAATCCCGTCTTGGAACCCAGAATGGTGCGGACGCCTTAAGCGAAACGGGCCAGAGCACCTCATTTCAGGGCATCTCGAAGCCTGGGGTTCCGATCTCATGCAAATCGGGCCAGAGTACCTCGCGAACCACATCTTGGAGTCCAGGCTTGTGAGGACGTCTCAAGCGAAACGAGCCAGAGCACATCAAGTCAGGGCATCTCGGAGCCCGAGCTTCAGAGGATGGCCCTCTGTTGGCCATGGGGCGCACCCAGCTCTTTTGAAGGCAACCCTCTCTAGCACCTCCCTGGCACCGCGTCCAGCCTTGGCGACGAGGATTGCCCCGAGAGCATTGAAAACAATGGTACTTGTCTGACAGCAATACGACCATGATCCTTCCTCCCCCTGGTCCTCAGTCATCCTGCCATTCCTCCTCCTCCCCCTGCATATCCTCCCTCGATTCGCACTCCTCAACGGTTGCTCGGATTTGCGGGGACGTCTCATGCGAAACTGGCTGGACCCCCTCGCACGCGGCATCTCTTTGCCCAGAATTGCAGGGACGTCTCAGGCAAAACTGACCGCATCACCTCGCAAACGGCATCTTCAAGCCTAGCGTAGCGACGATGTCCCCATCGAAACGGACGAGGCAACCGGCAATCTCAGGTCATGGTATCCCCGACCCAAAAGATTTGAGAATGTTTCAGGAGATACGCGCCAGACCACCTCTCGCAGAGCCTCTGTGAGCCCAGAGATGCAAGGATGTCTCAAGCGGAACGGGCCGGACCGTGTCAAATCTGGTCGTTTCGGGACGCAGACTTGACGAGCATGTCTTATGCGAAACGGGCCGAACCACCTCAGCAAGTTGCGAATGTCTCGAGGCGCGGGCCCCTCGGGCGGCATTCGTTCTTACCGCACCGATGCCCCCCAGCACCAGCCGGGCGACCCAGGAACACTCCAAGGCGAAAACCTACTGAAGGGAAACAAGCGAGAAGTTCCCATGGATCCCTTGCAAACATATAAGATGAATGCGCGCGGCGAGAAGGCGAAGGCCGTATCGTAAGAACCACCTCACTCCGTATGCGTCGCCGATGGATAAACCTAACCTTCGAATCATAACGTGGAGACCAATGTACCATGAAACGCCCAGGCCACCCAACCGACAAGTCAGGTGGTACGACGGGGAGACGGTATCGATCAGGACAAAGAAAGAAAACGGATAGGGAAGAGGAGAAGGCGCGGCAGGAGGAGGAGGACGACGAGCAGGAGGACGAGGAAGGAGGAGCGAGAGGAGGACGACGACGACGAGGAGAAACAGGCGCGAGGGGAGGAGGGGAAGGGGAGGAAGCGACGAGAAGAGGAGGAGGAGCGAGAGCAAGAGGGGGGAAGGAAAGCCTTTACGACCACCAGTCCAATCCTTCATCCCCTCATCGTCATGGCGTTGCCCCTCGCTTGGCAGGCAGAGAATGACAAGGCGCTAACCAAACATGAGGGGAGGTGGCAATGCATTCACGACCAGGACAAGATCCCAGCCAGGCATGGGTGACCCTGCCATTAGCGGAAATCTGACCTGGGCATCCGCTTCCGAGGAACGAGGGAGCCCGCGGGGGGGGCCCTGCCGCCCTGCTACAGTTGGGGCAGTGCACGACTCCCCTTCCACCTTCTCCATCTCCTCGGCGTCATCAGCAGCATCAGCAACATCAGCATCAGCATCAGCAGCAGAGTTAGCATCAGCAGTAGCAGCAGCAGCATCCACTTCCGCCGCAACGGGGGAGCCGCCACTTCCGCCGCTCCCGCGGCCGAGGCGCCTGGAGTCGCGGCAGCCGCCGTGGCCCCGGGGGCCTGGCGGCGCGGGCGGGCGCTGTGGCGGCCACGCCGCTGCAGCCGCGCCAACCAGCTTCCTCGCTCCTCCAGGCCGCGCCAGCCGCTGCGGCAGGGGCCGCGGCTGCCGCCAGGTAAGAACAAAATCCGGAGGGCGCGGGATACACTCCTGAGCAAGGGCCTCCCACGGAAAAGCAGTCCCGAGGAGGGGGAAACTCTGCTTGAGCAAGAAGTTTCCACCACTATCTCCAGCACCCTCCTCCTCGTCTCCGCCGTCGTCGTCATCCCGCCTCTTCCCCTATCCGCCTCCGCCTCCTCCACCTCCTGCTCTTCCTTCTCCTCCTCCTCCTCCTCCTCCGCCTCATACACCTCTTCCGCCTCATCCTCGGCCTCCTCCGTCTTCGCCTTGTCCCCTAGCCAACATGCTCCTCCTCCCTCCTCCTCCTCCCTCCTCCTCCTCCTCCTCCTCCTCCTCCTCCTCCTCCTCCTCCCTCCTCCTCCTCCTCCTCCTCTCCTCCTCCTCCTCCTCCTCCTCCTCCCTCCTCCGATCATCATCATCATCATCATCATCATCATCATCATCATCATCATCATCATCATCATCATCATCATCATCATCATCATCATCATCATCATCATCATCATCATCATCATCATCATCATCATCATCATCATCATCATCATCATCATCATCATCATCATCATCATCATCATCATCATCATCATCATCATCATCATCATCATCATCATCATCATCATCATCATCATCATCATCATCATCATCATCATCATCATCATCATCATCATCATCATCATCATCATCATCATCATCATCATCATCATCATCATCATCATCATCATCATCATCATCATCATCATCATCATCATCATCATCATCATCATCATCTCAGCATCATCATCATCATCATCATCATCATCAGCATCATCATCATCATCATCAGCATCATCATCATCATCATCATCACCATCATCATCATCATCATCATCATCGTCATCGTTAGCATCAGCATAATCATCGTCAGCATCATCATCATCATCATCATCGTCGTCATCATCATCAGCATCATCATCATCAGCATCATCAGCATCAGCATCATCATCAGCATCAGCATCATCATCATCATCGGCATCATCATCCTCATCACCATCAGCAGCAGCATCATCATCGTCATCAGCATCATCATCATCAGCATCATCATCACCATCATCAGCATCATTCTCAGCATCATCATCAGCTTCATCATCATCAGCAGCATCATCAGCACCATCAGCATCATCATCATCATAAGCATCATCATCAGCATCATCATCATCAGCATCATCATCACCATCATCATCATAATCATCATCATCAGCATCATCGTCATCATCATCAGCATCAGCATCAGCATCAGCAGCATCATCAACAGCAGCATCAGCATCAGCATCATCATCAGCTTCATCAGAAGCATCATCACCATCACCAGCACCAGCACCAGCATCGTAATCATCATCATCACCATCATCATCATCCTCATCATCATCATCAGCAGCAGCAGAATCATCATCATCAGCAGCATCATCATCGTCGTCGTCGTGATCAACATCATCATCATAATCATCAGCATCAGCATCATCAGCATCGTCATCATCATCATCCTCATCATCATCATCATCATCATCGTCATCCTCATTGTCATCGTCATCGTCAACATCATCATCATCATCATCATCATCATCATCATCATCATCATCACCATCATCATGATCGTCCTCGTCATCATCATCATCACCAGCAGCAGCATCATCATCCTCATCAGCAGCAGCAGCCATCAGCATCAGCATCAGCATCAGCATCATCATCAGCATCATCATCATCCTCTTCCGCATCGTCATCTGTCTCATCATCTTCGTCATCCTGCGGCGCATCCCTCCCCCTCTTCCTCCTCCTTCTGCTCGTATTCCCCTCCGCCTCCCCCTCGTCATCCTCAAGATCCTCCGCCTCACCCTCAACATCCTCCGCCTCTCTCCTTCTCGTGCTCCTCTCAGGCGGACTGCAGGCCACATCGGGCCGCGCGATGGTACCAGCAACGGCTGTGTGTTCAGTCTTGTCGCGGACCCCCCGAAAAGTGAAAATCGGCACCTTCTCGTCCCCATGTTCCTCGTCTTCGTCCTCCCCCTGGGGCCACAGGGCGGCAACGGGGCCACCCATCCATCACGATATTGAGCACCGAGTAGGCCACGAGTGAACCGAGCACGGTGGCCCCTCGGTGAGCAGGTGAGCGGAGCACGCGTCCGCTCATGTCGGGGCGGGAGGTGCCCCGAGACAGGCCAGGAGTGGCCGCAGAGCCAAGCAAGCGGGAATGATCTCTGGGAAGGAGACCATGGCCAGGTAAGCCGGGCAAGCGGGTGGGTGGGTGAGCCAGGCCGCAAGCCCACTGAACATCGCGCCCACGCCGCGATCGGCCCACCTGGGGGGAAAACACCAAGCCATGCGCGTGGCTGAAGTGGCAGGCTTCGAGTGCGCCAGGGCCCATTTGCAGGAGGCAGTCAACTGAAGCCGAGGAAAACGCCGAGGAGGAGGAGGAGATCAGGAGAAGCAGGAGGGAGGAGGGGAGGAGCGGAGTTGGAGAGGTGTTCAGGCGGCTCCTCAAAACTCTTCGATTCTACGGAGATCTTGAGCGTTCTCGGAAGATATGGGGAGGAGCAGGAGAGGCAGAGGAGAAGAAGGAGTAGTTGAGGAGGGGTCGAGAAGAGGAGCACCAGCAGGGGGGAGGAGGAAGAGTTGGAGGAGGGGGGAGCCGAAGGGAAAGGAAGAGCCAGGAGCACGAGGAGCAGGGAGAGGGGGAGAGTGACGAAAAGCAGCAGCAGCAGCAGCAGCAGCAGCAGCGGGAAGGTGGAGGAGGGATAGCACGAAGAGTAGGGAAAAGATGGAGAGGAAGAGGACGCATGCGATCTCACCTCTCACCAGAGGGTGGTTCAGAGGGCGGAGGGCACTGCCTCTGCGGCGGCGAGGGCGACGTGAGACCTGGGCCGTCACGCTGCTGCTTGCCTCGTCCTCCTCGTATGGTTGCTGCTGCTCCTCCAAGTCCTGCTGAATGACTCGTGAGTTGCCCAGTACTTCCCTGGTGCAAAGCCTCTGGGGCCTGATGGGCGTCGTGAGCGGTACTCTGGAGGCTGTGGGTGGCCACCCTGGAAGTTCTGCGGACACTCCGGGTCAGCGACGCTTCTGGCAACACCAGGTGTATGTTCCTGCTCCGACTGCTGCTCGAAAGCCTCCCCGTGCTAAAACCACTCATCACCAATACTGTCTCGACCTATAGTACGGAAGAATCTCCCGTCTCATCCTCCTCCTCCTCCTCCTCCTCCTCCTCCTCCCCCTCATCCTCCTCATCCTCCTCGTGTTCCCCTCCGCCTCTCTCACGTCCCCCCTCATTAGAGGAAAACATCGCACCACTTCTGATCCACACGCCCGTCCAACTCAGGAAGGAAGACAAAACCCACCGTGCAAGCGAGGGGCTCAGTGTCTCAAACAAAGCATCCTGGAAAGTCCATCGTGTCTGAGGCTACAACGAGGGAACAATCGGGGTACCAATCTGTGGCGTCAAAAATAAACAGTCACCACACTGCGCGGAGCCCATGTGAGCAAACGTAACGGAGGACACATACCTGAGAGGTGATGGGCTTTGAACCTATTGCCAAGTAGTGGTGGCCGTGGCACAGATTGGGAATTCCTGCGAGTACGTAGAAGTACTCATGCTAACTACGTGTCACTCACACGTCCAATCGCCAACCAACGTTGCAGAGTCACGCTTGTCGTCGAGAGAAATGCACTGTCCTTCGCAATATGCCTAAAAACATTGTATCGATGTATCCCGTAGCTCGGCTTTATACGAATTCGGCGGATGTCTGCATCCGAAGTCGAGTTGCCGGGCCAGCATTGCATACGCCAGTATCCGCTTGCCCCTTTGTGGGACCACCAGGCTACGAAGACCTGGGCTACGAAGACCTGGGCGTTCGTGTTCAAATGCAAGCACATGTGTATGTGAGGATATCACATGTAATGTGTCAACAGACGCCTGACGCTTTTTTCATGAATGAAGGCGTCATCCGTCACTGTGCCCTCGACACGTTGGGACGTGTCCGAATGTCTATTAGACGTCTAGCGGGATTTCCACACATTTCTGCTGTCTGCCCAAGACAATCACCCAGGGAGGCGAGGTCTTCGAGGGGTGCCTGTACCATGCCCCTCCACGGCACTCCGCACAGGCACAGAAGGTGGCGACACTTCATCGTTCGGCGTGGTCCTCAGTCGGGTGCCCGTGTCGCGCCGCTGCATGGGACCCCCAAGAGGCCCAGGAGGAAGCAACGCTTCGACGTGCGGCAGGGTACGGGGAGCAGTGCCCCGCTCCGCGGGACTCCCCCGAGGCCGCAGACGTGGCGACAGCTACGTTTGGCAGGACCCAGGGAAAGTCAAGAAGAGCAAGGAAAGAAGGAGAAGCGCAGCAAGAAAAGCTCCCAAGCCCCAGCCCACGGCCTCTACCGTATGAGGGGTGCGCCAAAATGGAGCGGGGCCGCTAGTCGAACCCGGCCACTGGGGCCTTCGGTGGAGCTCCCTGTGGCCACGAACCGTGTGAGGGGTGCGCCAAAACGCGGGGCCGCCATGCGAACCCTGCCGCTGGGGCCTTCGGTGGAGCTCCCTATGCGCCACGATGCGCTGCACTGGGTGGGTGAAACGCAGGGATGAAGGAGGAGGGGGAAGAGGGAGGAGGGAGAGGAGGGAGGGAGGAAGCGGGAGGAGAACGCGGGGACCGTCTCTTCAGAACGGGGACCCAACACCACAGGATGGTTGAGAAAAAAGAAGCGTGACCAAATAGCAAAGGCAGAACAACACAAACCTAAAGCTTACGAGTCCAACCCCATGGTCCCAGTGCGGGAGGCGCCTGCAGAGGGCGAAGCATGTGCACGTGCATGCACAAATGAATCGCGCAATGCTGCGTGCAAGTACCCGCGCATCGAACTACGATGCAGGGGGAGTAC